TCAAAACTTTTCGTATTATATAATAATAAACAATTTTGTCTCCAATTATGTTCAAAAGAGTTGTTTGAAAACAATTTTCGAGTCGTTTTCTAAGTTACATAATAATTGGAAATTAACATTATTTTGTTTTGTTCACAAATACTGAGGATTTTTATATATTCAAAGTTATGTACACTTTTTTATATAACACAAATTGCTATTCAATAGTCAATCGATTTGTTATCTCAAACAACATTTACAATCAATTAATTGTCAAAACAAAAGAGAAATATATGTTTGTTTTGTTCGTATCTCTTATTCACTTCAAAACAATTAATTAGATATTTTAGGAATTTTAAAATTAAAGTCTAATTTCTTAATTATAAACTAATAGTAAAAACATTAAAATTAATTAAAAATAACGTCTCTATTCATTAAAAAGTAAATTATATATTAAATTAAAAAATAACTATTATTTCCTAATCAACAGCTCTAAACAAATTCATTAGTGCCCGGACTCGTGAGCGGCTCCAGACTGGATGGGTATGAGGACAGGGAGTCGTCGCTCTTCTCCAATACAAACTGGTCTTCTGTTGTCTTACGATAGACTGGATTATCGAAATTCATTGAAGTTATGTGACGTCTGTATCAACCAATACAAGAGACACACAATTAATGACAATTTCATTTCAATTATAAAGTTTACAGAAATGTTTTCTATACAAACCGTTGATATTTGCGATAAATGAATAAAGTAATGGTTGAGATGAACAACAAAATACATAACAATATAACGGTTATAATGATCGCCAACTTGCCGTCCGACTCCTGGCCCACGGAATAGTCGTCGATAGTATTGGTTTTGTTTTCTTTGTAGTGTTTGATCTTATTTTTGTTGTGAGACTTCATTAACTCGATCTCTTCGATCGATTCTGTCATCTCTTCGGTGCCTGACTTCGTCGGTGACACGGATTGAGCGCCCGTAGTCTCCGCTGATTCCGGAGCTGACGGGACAGTCGTTGACTTAATAATGGACTCACACGTGAAATTGTTTATTAATATCATGGTTGACGGGCACAGGCATCGATACGACTCGTGACCGGTTGGCAAACAGAGGTGCGAACACCGGTGCTCTGCGCACCTGTTCGGTGAATATGGCTTCTTATAGGAGTGGACAACACAGATATCCATTACGGAGAAGACTCCGCCAACTAATGACTCGACTTTATTGTAATCATTGCCTAAAACATTAAGTTATGGTTTACTTGTTATTCATTGAGAGAGAATTCATACCGAATTTATTTGTGGCCAAAACCGACTCCAGTTCCCAATCAGTCCAATAGACTGTGTCCTCGAAGATATCCAGAGAGAAGGGATGTCTGATATATTCGGGTGAATGGAGAACAAGTCGACGATTCTTTCCGTCGTAATCGATGGCATTAATTGTACTCAACTTCGCGTCCAACCAATAGATCTGTTTTGTAATCAAATCAATGGTCACACCGTTGGGCCACACGATGTCCCGATCGACAAGTATTTGTCGTCCGCTACCGTCCTGTTGAGCCCTCTCTATCTTGGGAATGGATCCCCAATCCGTCCAAACAATCCAAGACTCCAACACATTGACGGCTATACCTCTGGGCTCTTCCAAGTCCTCGTTTATTATGATAGCTCTCGACTCAGGATCTGATATATTGGCCACTTCTATGTGATCTTTGGATGTGTCCGACCAGTAGACCAGTCTATGGATCCAATCGACAGCTAATGCGTCGACAACTCCTTTATTGTGAATCAACTCCTTTTGTTCCGTCAGACCGTTGAACGTCTTATGAGAGGAATTATAGGGCGCTATAAATATCTTCTCATTCGCCACATCACTCCATATGAGATAATTATCTCTAAGACTGTAGTCGATGCCAATGGTTGACGAGAGGTGTGAGTACAAGGGCTGGTAGTGTTGGTGTTTGTGTTTCTGCGATATGTCCAGAGTTCGGATGTCGTGTCTGTTGGCGAACATCAGTAACGGCTTCTCTTCGCCTTTGATTTTACAGAAGCGATGGTCTCGGATCTCATAGCCATCGAAACACTCGCACTTGAAGTGTCCCTTCAGGTTCAGACATATATGACCGGAGCATAAGCCGTAGTGTTCCGCACATCTGTTATTGTGACCAAAATCAATGATAACTACTATCGCAACAAACTTATGCTAAATCAATGACATACTCGTCGATGTCATCACATGTCTTGTTATCTGATGCCAACTCAAAGCCCTTTTTGCAGGCGCAGTGAAATCCAGAGAAGTCGTCCACGCATACTTGGGAACAGTGGTGACTACCGGTGCACTCATTGACGGCACAGTTGTGCGGCTCATCAGACCAATCGCCGCAGTCGTTGATACCGTCGCAGAGTTTGCTGTTTGCGATGCATTTAACAGGCGTTGAATCTTTGCACTCGTGCTCTACAGCCGTACAAATGGTTGTGTTTGGCGTCGACTGTAAGCGTGAGAAACAAATAGTTAGCACCAAATGTCACATCAAATCAATTCAATAAATCTCTCACCGAATCGTCCGGTTTTTCGGGACAGTTCTGCTCATCCGTACCGTCCGCACACTCGGGCTTTCCGTTGCATTTCATGCTCTCGTGAATACAGTTCCCATTTCGGCACATAAACTGGTCTTTACGGCACGTGTAGCTGCAGTTGACTTCATCGGAACCATCCGTACAATCGTTGCTGCGATCGCACCTGTAGTCCAAACATAAACACAAATTAAGTTAAAAACTAAATTAAATGACAAATAAAACCCATTATCCATACCTCCAGAGATTGCTTATACACTCGTGTCCGTTGGCGCACAAGAATTCTGAGGGACCGCATTTGGACTCATCATCTTTGGTGACCGCCGGACAGCCGGCCTCGTCCTCGCCGTCGGGACAGTCTTTGTCTCCGTCGCACTTCCAGCGGTCGGGTATGCATTTGCCGGACAGACAGGTGTACATCCCGGACGTACACGTCTTGTTGGAGCAAATATGACTGGACTCGTCGGACCCGTCGCCGCAGTCGTTCTCTCCGTCACAAACCCATCGGTTTATCAGACATTTTCCGTTATCACACGTGAACTCGTTTTGACGACAAGAGACTAAATCGGTTTTGCATTGCTTCTCATCCGACCCGTCCGTACAGTCCTCCACATCATCGCACAACCACTCGTTTGGTATGCAATTACTGATGGATACACACTTAAAGTGATTCTCAGCGCAGGTATGGTTTGCTATAGCGATCACATTTTGTTAGTTATTTTGTTGAATGATTTTAAATAGCAATTAATATTTACCGCAATTTAATTCATCACTCCTATCGCCGCAATCGTCTTCGTTATCACAAATCCACCTAAAAATCAGTCAAAAGTTATTTAATAACAAGAATTTTCCGAGAAGTGTATTCACTAAATGTTTTGATCAAATCACTCAAATGTCTCATTAAACAACACGTAATGGCAATGATTTATGCAAATATCAGATAAAACTTTATTTTTAATCTTAAAAATAAAATTCAAAACAACAACAAAATAATTGATTAATTACTTGAGAAATTGATTGCAATGAATGAGAAAGAGTGTTGCAAACATTTTCTCACAAATTATAAGTTTTTAGTACTAATAACTGGTTTATATGACACGACAATTGATTAATTAATAGTTTGTCTGCGAGTGACTTGAATATTGAGAATTAAATAAAAAACAAACGACTAATTGATAGGTTATGCGATCGCATGAAAAAAAGTGTCTATAATTTGTCAAAAAATATAACAAAATAAAACTTACTTTTGTGGCAAACATTTCCCATTTTGACACTTGAATTCATGTTCTGTACATATTTTGACGGCTAAATGACAAAACAAATGAGATTATAATACAATATAATTTAATAAATTTTTAATTATACATATAACTAAATAATATAAGTTATATTATAACTTAAAAGATCTCAAAATGAAAATAAAGTTTTGAGAGCACCGGAGATAATATAAATTAATTATTCGTCAATTAGTTTTTTGAGTACTAAAGTCAATGTTTGAATTGTTACTTAACATTGACTTTAAATGTGTGTTATCTTAGTCTCGGGTAATTGTGTTATCAAAGTGTGATCTGTGAGACAACTAACACTAAAGCTAAGACAAAAACTTATGGGAAAAATAATATACAGACTATTAGTGTCAAGTGTAGCGCCGGTATATACTTATGATAATTAAATCTTATGTAAACATTCAAACAAATAAATTTCACGCTTAACTGTCAGTCAAAAATAAAAAAGATTTAAATAAAAAACAAAAAAAAGTTTTCAATTAATGAAACCTAAATTACATTAACAATCTTTTGAGATTCTTATTTTGTTAAAAAGATTAATAGCTTTTAAAAGATATAGTAACTGAAGTAAACTACAGTATAATCTAATGATCGTCGCATTGAGATAGCGTTTGAAAACTGATATCTTTATTGAAAACAAAACTAAAATCATTCGTTAAATTAGTCGTTAAAGTGGATGAGAAAACTGGAGTGAATTCTGTGTACATTTTTGGGAGCACTAGATAACTGAGTGACACGAATATTCTCTGTCTTTTTTGTTTGATTTACAATCAGAGTAACATGTATTTTAAAATAAATAAATCACTCATTAAATGAAAATTTTTCTAATGAGAGAGAGAGAGAGAGAGAGAGAGAGAGAGAGAGATTAGGAAACAATAATTATAACCGCATTCTTATGGCTGAGTTCTTTGGGTTCTTTCCCTTAAATTAAATTTATGTGCAAATGTTGTGCTATTTATAACTTATGGTGTGATTCGATGCCATATTAATAGATATTTCAAACAATGAGTCGATTTGTGAGACAATCAACTAATCAGAGAAATAGGAAAATGCGGCCAAATTGGAGAGAGACATGTGTTTCTCAATGAATTGCAAACTAAGTTAATAATCATTTAAATCTATGGAGATATCACTTTACTCTCACTTCATATAAATACCCTTTTTATTAGTTTTTGTACAGAATGCCATTTCCTCTGTGTTTGTATTTTATTAAATGAAATATTCATGTGATATGAAACTAAACTACAGGTGCTCTCATCTACACTGACAACCATATCAATAGGATTCGTGCAAAAAACATAATAAAAAGTATAAATATTTGATTTTTTAGACACAACTAGAAGTCATAAATCTTTTTCAATTTTAAAATAACAATGATATATGAAATAAAAGGTCTTTTGTAAAGCTTATGACACATAAAAAATATAATGAAAGTTCTCTATTATGTAAATAAGTTAATTCAAAATATTTTTCATATTTCAGAATCAAAACCAATTTTCTTATATTCTTTGGTATAATATAAGTCAACACATGATAAGAAAATTTTATATAAAAAAGGATTTAACCAATATTTTGAAATCAAGTGATATAAAATATTTTTCATATTTCAGAATCAAAACCAATTTTCTTATATTCTTTGGTATAATATAAGGCAACACAAGATAAGAAAATTTTATATAAAAAAGGATTTAACCAATATTTTGAAATCAAATGATATATATATTCTGGAAGTGAATCAACAACAAAAAGTTAATTATAATTTTAATCATTCATTTAAATTGAATGCAAAGTTCACGTAATGATTATAATTTTCTTTAAAGTAACACAAAAAACTTTAGGCTAATATGGGATGTTGATCAGTTGATGAATTGTGCAAACATATTATGTAATCATTGCAAAAACTTTCCCTAAAAACAATAAATGTCTGTAAAAACTGTCTGTAGATATATTCGAGATATAACCGAGATATCACTTGATGTTATGAAATCACAAGATTTTATTGAAAAAATGGTTTGAAATTTCAATTATATGACTTATCTCACTTTCAATGCCAAGGTTGGGAGTCCTACGAGACAACGCGTAAGACTTTCCCACTTTTCTCAGTAATGACATCAATAAATTTCAATAGTAAACCAAAACTTTCATCAACTCTTCTAACAGAGATTCAAAACATAAGCGACTATTAGATAAAGGCTTAAACATAATTAGATATAAGGCATGGGATGGTATCTCAATGGGTATGCCATTAGTTTACGGAGGAATACACGCTCTGAGCGCAGGAGTGGAGTGATGGAAGTGAATCAACAACAAAAAGTTAATTATAATTTTAATCATTCATTTAAATTGAATGCAAAGTTCACGTAATGATTATAATTTTCTTTAAAGTAACACAAAAAACTTTAGGCTAATATGGGATGATTTGATGCACAAATAGGTTTTGTAATTAAAACATACTGGATACAAGATTAAATAAAACCGCAATGAAGTGATCAGTTGATTATTGTGCAAACATATTATGTAATCATTGCAAAAACTTTCCCTAAAAACAATAAATGTCTGTAAAAACTGTCTGTAGATATATTCAACCGAGATATCACTTGATGTTATGAAATCACAAGATTTTATTATATGAATCTCACTTTCAATGCCAAGGTTGGGAGTCCTACGAGACAAGACTTTCCCACTTTTCTCAGTAATGACATCAATTTTCAATAGTAAACCAAAACTTTCATCAACTCTTATAACAGCATTCAAAACATAAGCGACTATTAGATAAAGGCTTAAACATAATTAGATATAAGGCATGGGATGGTATCTCAATGGGTATGCCATTAGTTTACGGAGGAATACACGCTCTGAGCGCAGGAGTGGAGTGAATTCAAAACATAAGCGACTATTAGATAAAGGCTTAAACATAATTAGATATAAGGCATGGGATGGTATCTCAATGGGTATGCCATTAGTTTACGGAGGAATACACGCTCTGAGCGCAGGAGTGGAGTGAATGTCTGGGCCCTCACATGTAATGCTAAACTCCAGCAGTTTTTATAATAAAAATCAATAATATATTTTCGGTGGCGAGAGAAAGGCATGTAATATATATGAAGTGTATATATAATTACGAATCGGGATATAAAGAGTTGATTGAACTGAGCGTTTGACTGGCGATTGCCGGCGTTTCAGTGCATAGTATGGCAATGAATGTGGAAAGACATCCATCGGAGACAATGACCACATAATGTATTAAAATATTAAACATAAGCATAGAATTAGGGGAATACCTATAAATAGCATCATCATGTGCTAACTAAACTATTATATGTTAATCGATAATAAAACTATAACTAACAAATAAATGACTTTTATTAATTTTAAACTTGAAATAATTTTCTAATAAAATATTTGCTAATAACTCCTTTTGAAAAATAATTACAATCAATTTCCTTTATGGTATTGCATTTCATTCTATTATAAATAACTCAATTTTACAAAGTAAGTGTTAAGTAATTGCATTAATATAAAAGAATTAATTTTTTTATAATAGAAGTCTTAGAAAAAGTTTTAAATTTCAATTTTGTGTGAATGTATAGAAACCTAACGAACATATCGTGTGATAAAATCAATTTAAAACTTATAATTACTTCCTAAGCGCCGGTATTTTCTTCCTATTAATAGTTTGAATTTGTATTAATTGTAATACAATTTATATAACAATACCAACGGCTGTAATACATTGAAAAATATCATTGACTTTGAATTGTATAACAAACGAGTAATTGTAAAAATATTTGCAGTATTTATGAGGAAATTGTATATAAAAATGTTATGTTTTTAAAAATATGATTGATTTTCAAAAAAAGTAATAACGAGTAAAATAATGGTAAATTCTTGCAATTTAACAAAAATAGTTAAATATTTTTTATTGCAAAGTATAACAAAATATTTTTTAAATCTCAAATATTCAGCAAAATTATAAAGAATTGAGGAAAACTTTTTATTAATGTTAGTTAAAGGAAATACCATAACGTAAAGTAAGATAATATTTATTGAGTTAAAATGTTTCATTCACAATTCATTAACGTAATTATATTTTCTTAATTAAAAAAATCATAGAAGTCTTAGAAAAAAGTTTTAAATTTCAATTTTGTGTGAATTTATAGAAACTTAACGAACATATCGTGTGATAAAATCAATTTAAAACTTAAAATTTGTATTAATTGTAATACAATTTATATAACAATACCAACGGCTGTAATATATTGAAAAATATCATTGACTTTGAATTGTATAACAAACGAGTAAATGTAAAAATATTTGCAGTATTTATGAGGAAATTGTATATAAAAAATGTTATGTTTTTAAAAATATGATTGATTTTCAATTTTTTTCATTATTGCTCATTTTATTACCATTTAAGAACGTTAAATTGTTTTTATCAATTTATAAAAAATAACGTTTCATATTGTTTTATAAAAAATTTAGAGTTTATAAGTCGTTTTAATATTTCTAATCAATATTTTATACAATACAGCGTAACTAGAATATACCGGTAGTAATAAAACAAATACTAAAAATAGTTTTGTTTAATTTTATTACAGCTAAACAGACATTAAAGTTACTTATTAAACAATTAAAATAAAGTAAAAGTATTATAGTCTGAAAGCCGATATCTAAATTGTTGGCATTATATTCAGACTCTAAGTCTGTCTAAGTCTCAATGTCTGTGTCTATGTATGACATGATATATCTCATTGGGAACTGGAGATTGAGTTGAGAACTGAATGCTAAACGATTTCAGTTATATAAATAAATACAAAAATTTAACACATTTTCCAAGTAATGTACAAAAAATGGGAAAACTTCAGCTAATTTAAAATATATATCAAATTAATCGTAAACTTAGACGTGAACTCTAATTTCCAAATGATATACAATATATATGGAGTACATGTGATGGTTAAGGGATTGCGGATGGAGTTTCTCCCACTCCAATGACAATCAAAAACCGCACACCACTTGCGAGATAGTCAAGTGATAACAGGAACAGTATGCCAACTGTTTATATACATTGTAATATAATGCAAAAAATATAATTAAAAATAGATTGTCTTCCGATTTACATAAATCTAAATTTAAGACAACATTCCTCTTAACCGTACACTCAATACACAAACACTTAAAATATTGGTTGCGAAATATTTTTGTCTATTATTTATGATTAAAAATGTTTTATTGATTTCATACATAAGAAATCATATTTACCATAAAACTCATGATTAAATTGTTAAATGAGTTTTAAAAAAATTAAACATGAGAAAAACAAACTCGCCGTCAATTGTGTGCAGTATTAGTGTCGCCGACAATTCAGACATTTCAAGGATTAGTCTTTGAAAAAACGTTTTTTGAATTTAAATAACACTTGAATATAATATTGTATAATCATAATTATAGAGTAATCGGTATTTTTCTAAGTTATCAATTCAATATACAGTATCTGTTTGTTATCTGAATTTCCTTTAAACTCTTTCGGTTTTTAGTTTTCAATTAAACTTTATATTATTTAAATGTTTCCTAAATGAGACTTAAAACTCTGTACAAAACTATAATTATTGTCGTTATTAATGATGTTTCAATTCATTAGACAATTATATTTAACGCCCGCTTTATGGATGTAAATGCTCTCAAGTATTACATCATATAATCACTTGATTTTTGACTCATAAGGATTTGCACGAGAATTGTATTGCAAAATATAAATGAAAAGCATTGAATGCACAAAATTACATTTAATAGACACATCACATCGATAAAAACACTTCGCGTGTAAAAACTTTCGATGTAAGCAATAAATATTATTTTCGGCGAATGCGTTTACAGTATATTAATTAGATAAATAAGCAAAAATATAAATAAACAAAATACTATAGTATGTACTCCTTTAACAGGAAAAACTAAAACTTGAAAACATTTGCAGAATTCTGTAGAAAATTATGTTTTTTGTAAAATTCTTTACCGCATTCGGATTCATCTGAATGGTCGGGACAGTCGACATCACCATCGCATCTGTGGCACAAGAATTCAAACCATAATTATAATTAGTTTTTGATACAAAAGATTAATGAATACAAAAAAGAAAATATAATAAATGTTTGGATACAGACCTCCACGAAAGTGGTATACATTTGCTTTTGTCTTGACATTCAAATTGTTGAAAACTACAGTCCGATGTGACTGCGAGACAGAGATTATAAATGGTTTTAGTTATTCAAGTTATTCACAAATAAATTATAAGTATATAAATAATCATTTTGCGCAATCAATCATCAAAATTAATTTCAAAACTAATTTTGTTAAGCCTTTGGTATTTACCAAAACACTTTAATAGGATTTTTAAAATCAAAATTTTTGAATTAGAAATAAACAAAAAAAAGTAAAATACTTTTTTATCTCATTTAACAGAATATTTTATTATTATTTTATTTGATCATTAAAAACTTATAATGGAAATAAGATAAAAATGTGTTAATGGTTTGAGTATAAAATTTTACACTGTTTATGTAAATAATGAAATAAAAAGCACAAAAATAGTTTAATGAAATGCAACACCAATTTGAGTCCAACAAAATACCCAAAAATGAAACTGAATTTCAAAGTTAACATAATTTAATTCCCATTAATTAACTTGATTCCCATCATTATTATGGTAAAAACGGTTCAATACTTTTTATGGTATTTCATGCTAATGAAGAAGATTTTAAAAATACAGAGAAAAGAGTTGTGAATAATAAATACTATGATATAAAAACGAGTTTCGTATTAAAAAACCTGAAAACTAGAAAATGGAAAATTATTTTCGTATCATTTTTATTCAAATAGTCATTGTATGACAACATTTAGACAATTGGCATAAAATTGCAATTAATATTTTTGTGCTATTTTTTAATCAGATCTTTATTTTTCAAGTCTCTCTCTCTCTCTCTCTCTCTCTCTCTCTCTCTCTCTCTCTCCAACTCTAGTCTATTGACAGATTGCCTTAAATTTGAAAACTAATTTAGACATTGAAATTATGAGCAAAATTATGACATTTGGTTGCATGTCTTAACTGCAAGTCTACCGAAACATTGATTGATATCTATTTATCGGGAATATACTTACGATGAGATGACTTAGAAACACAAACATAACATAAATAACACATATTTCTCATTACTAGTGAATTATTTCAGAGCAGAAAATGGGATCAAAACAAATGATAAATTGTGAACATTTCGGAAGTTTTGAGATAAAAATGTTTATTTTTGTGACTAAAATGCTGTTAAATGTAGTCCTCCTTTCGGTTTTGATTATAGATTTCTATAATTAACTAATCAACTAAATTATTAAAGTAAAACTAACAAAATAACTTTTTATTAGAAACTAATTAACAGGTTCACATTTTTGTGTCACTAATTAAACGTTTAATTAAGCGCTTAGCATAAGTAACACACATATTATTAAACATTGCATTTGAATTTTTATATGTAATACCAATTTATATTAAAATTTTTAATTTAAAAACCAATTTTCGTATCAAAACTGAGTCTAGTAACTTTCATTATAAATTATTAAATAAGTGCTTTAGTCCCTAAAAATAGTTATTCTTTTACAGACTAACTTTGTCTAAACCTGAGTTTTTTGAGTACAGAACTAAGTTTAGAGCAAATTATATATTTATATATTTTATTTAACTGGAGATTTGGATCAACGCTAATAAGTCATACATTGAGTAAATATTTTTAAATTAAAAACATTAATATTTGACAAGAAATTGACATTTAAAAGTTAAAACCAAAAGTGTTGACAAAAATAATGATTTCGCAAAACGCTTCAAACCAATAGATAATGTAATTAAACATTTCAACACTAAATTCACATGAAATTATATACAAAAATAAATACATTTATCATAAATATAGGCATAAGATACTGATATATCTGTATCGGTAATAATACACACGATCTATGCTTGAAATATAAATCACTATTCATTAATAATTCATATCAAAGGCTAAATCTCATTTACCTAGCTATGTTTTAGTCAATATATCTAGATAATAGTGGCTTTCAATAGGTGATAAACGAGATATACATACCATTTGTGATGATAAGTGATGTGACAATAAATGTAACGATAATTAAATGATTAAATAAATATTTGCAATCAATTAGCGATCGCATAGTAGTCCTGGTATTTGCAAACATAGTATCACTTGTTTTACACATTATTTCGCAAATCAGTTACAAAACTATTGATTTGAACTACAAATCAATGCAATGATAGGCCCGAAAAAACTACACCACAAACACAATTGTGCCCAAAAAGCCCTGGTCAAACTTGAGATCAATTACGGGATACACATTTTGTGGACTCAAATGATCGGAGACACTTTTTTAAATTCACGTTTTTAAATCCAATACACCATTGAAGCACACGTTTCGCTATTTATGATTATGATTATGATTAGTATTGCAAGTGTTTTATTGGGAAAAACTTTTTATACATTTCATTAGCCATTAATAGCGTAATTAATAATGAATTTACGAAACACTCATTCAGATGGTATGGATGTCTAGTGGACTGGTAGTGGATGTGTCTCACAGTTTTGTATGATTTTCTCTCAAATGTGTTTCAAATCGCGTCAAATGAGTGAATGTATGGCTTGTGAGCAGTGAGTGAGAGCTCAATGCACTGCCACTACAGACAGATCCATGCATTGGCTCAGCATTGGAGGCATCGCTACTCTATGCAACCGCTCTCTCTGTATGCTATGCTGTGCTGTGGGTTGTCTCACCCCTACCGTTCCCTACCGTTTCCCAACCGTCCACTGCTAACTACGATTTCGCATTCAAATTCACTGTCAAATCAGTTGCCTAATAGTGGTGACCATTTTATGCTTGTGTCAGTATTTTTGTTGCATTTTATTAGGTTTATCGCAATTTTCATAATGCTTATTAAATCATATTACAAGTTTTATAACTAATATCTAATTACTTATTAATAACTTATATCATTATACTATAATGTTTGCAAATATTCTCTATGCATTAGATTCAAGAATATAATTACATGAATGCGTTATTGATAGTTAGGAATCTGTTAAAGTAGATTACAAAATGATCTAGCTTATCATAACCCGCATTAATGTGAGTGATGTCCCAATGTTATGCGTGTAAAGCGAGTCAACCCACATATAAGCTTCGCTGTACCGAAAGCCGGTAAAAGCCTATGGCGTGACTGTTAGGAGGGGTCGGCAGCCGTCGTAAGCCCTGTTTTGTGTGGCAATCCATTACTGGTTTACTATGCAATGCATTGCCAACATAGAGACAGATATTATATGTACAGTTGCTATAGAGAAATGGTCTGATCCTCTCTCCCTCTCAAACACAAATGTCTCGCTATTATTGCGGGAAAAGTATTTTTGAACTCAAAATTCTGTGCAAACCTAACCTAACCTAACACTCCACACACTCTATGCAATAAACCATAGCATTTGATTGACTGACTACTGCTGTAGTGTTTGACTGTTGAATACTATTTCATTAGACGATTACATCATATGTGATGTAAACGTAGAGAATATTATATTTGAATTCATTTGTACCGCACTTTAAGACATATTTCATGCATTACTTAATACTCAATGCGATTCATATGGGCTTTAAAAATATGCACAAACTTTAAGCGCTTTAAATGTTACGTCACTTTTAGGGCCCATATTTGCATCGCTTTTCGTCGATAATTAAGTGCAAAAGGATTGACACAAGAGATTATCGGAAAAGTCATAAATTCTCTAAACTACCAGTCCTTATGGGCTCCAACCCCCACCACATCCATAAGCCATGAATAAAACCGACAGATATATGGTTTACATAGAAAAAGCATGCATTTGTTAAGACATACACTGCCCTCAGTAATAGCCTTTTGCACGTATATGTGATGTGAACCCAGGGGTGATTTATTTTGACAGTTGGAGTGTATGAAAGGCATGACATGTGTTGCACTCACGAGACAAAAAAGGTCTGTCCCGAAGATGTCATGTAATATGGGAAATACACGTTACAGTTATCGTATGTAAAAAATGTGGTGGTTTTTTGGGCCTCTCTATCAGTTCAGTTAGTTTTCCCTAAAACTTATGTTTAGAAAACCTTTATTTATCCAATCAATGATTTTTTACACATAAGTTGTTATAGTTTTTATGAATTAGAAATTCAGTACTTTTGTGGCAATTCTGGGAAAGTTTATTGAAGTTTCTATTAATCTATAAAAAAAACTATTTTTTCTATTTCTATAATTACTTTCTTAAGAAATATTAATTCAAAAACTTAATGATTACGCGAATGTATGTTATTATTATTCCCGTTGCCATCAAAATAAAAATCATACGATTCTCTTGTGACAAATCATACAAAACAAAACATCTTTAAAATACTTGCGCCAAAAAATTAGTACATTATTAGAAATACACTATTTATTCTTAGCTATTATACAGTATTTGATCACTATATAAATAATTATTTATAACTATAACGTGTAAGTGTATTCAATACATTGTATTGTAACGTTATATTTTATAATTCAAATTACTTACAGTACAGAATAATAATAATAATTTATTAAATAATTTTGTTTACATTATCATTATTTTTATCAGTTTAGATAAACAACTACCGGTAATACTGATAATGAAAATAATCAACTACTGGCGTTTACAGAATAGAAATAATTGCAGAATAAAACCTTGATAACAAAAAAGTAAAAGGATAAATGTATTTTTAGACACACATTTAGTACTTTGAATTTTAGGTCACAATTTGTCTCGATTTTCATGCAATGAATTAGCAGTTATAATGTAATCCAATCTATTAATAGTATTACAAACTCATACTGTAATTAAATTTAATTGTGTGGCTCACATACAAATTGGACATTGGATAAAAAGTGATGCTATTTGTACTGTACGTTAAACACTACAAAATGTTACCTCAAATTATGATAAACTTTATTTTGCATGAATTATGTAGTAATTGAAGTGGAAGTTCAAGTTCTTTACGACAACGAAAATCTCGTTTTATTTCATTTGTATTTATGTTAATATTTCACTCAAAGGCATACAAACAATAATAGTATGAAGTATTTAAACAACACTTGAAACTCAAGAGTCTGTTTCGCTGGCATACCAGTGCCGGTCACTACAGACCCCTCACTTGGCGGGTGAACTACAGACGGAAATAACAGATTAATGATCCGTTGTTTTCAACGTTCAGACAATTAAACGAAATTGAGTTTCGCTCCCAAAACTAAACTAAAATAAATTGTCCATTTAGTCAATGACACACTCCCTGTCCCCTCCAGTCTCTCTCTCTCTCTCTCTCTCTCTCTCTTTCTCTTTCTCTCTCTCTCTCTCTCTCTCCACGACCACTACATTCACCCAATAATAGTCGGGGTCTCTCTCCCCACTGAACTTTATTGTCATTCCTGTTGTCATTACATTTGTCTCGTAACCATATATTTCTCATGTATTTGAGTGTAGAAAATAAGTATCGATTTATTAAATACTTTGAAACTTATTGATTTTGTCGACAATTGCTGTTCCAATACCTCATATAATACAGTATTTAATATAAAAATTGTTATTTACTGGTAAACATGCTATACATTGAATTACACGAATATTCAGATGTGTGTCACAAGGAATAAAAATAAGAGTAAAAGACATTTTCATTCAATAAGAAATTCAATGACTGTTTTTGTGTAAACATTCAATTTGTATTAGTTTTCTATTAATTATAATTATTTTTCTTTATTCAGAATCTATTTATTAAATTAGAGTTAGCTTTGTATTAATTTATTGATACAAATTACAAAAATAAAATATAATAAATTCAATGACTAATATTGTTTCAGTAATTATTTAATTTTTATGAGAGTTCTGTTCAATTAAATGCAATTAAAATTTAATTAATTTTTTATTATTTACGGTTTATTTTAATGAACACTTATTCAATATGACATAACTTTTGAATTGTATTGAAAAAGAAATTGTATTACAATATAATAATCAACAAAACTTTTAATTGAAAAGCGATTTCTGTTTTTGTGTAAAACACAGAATATTCTGTGTATTAGATGTGTATTCTGTGTATTCAGAAATTCTAAAAACACAACTCTTATCAAGCATTCAATACAATATAAATACACAAAAAACTTATTTTTCAAAAACTTTTTTAAAAATTTTGAAACAATAGAAACAATGAAATCATAAAAACTTTTATTTCCACTAATTTTCTGTTAACGACAGATCAGAGGATCAGACATCCACTCACTTATGGCTCAGTATTTCATGTGTTTCTGTGTCTCACATCTCAAGACTACTTCTAATCAACGAATACTAACCACTCTTTTCTATTCCCTTCTCAACAGACAGGAAATAGATGTCAGATCTCAGACAGGAGATTGGACTCCAATTGATTTCTAATTTTAATTCAATTCTTTGACTAAAAAATTAAACTTTAAGTTAAATGATATTTGTATGAGATATAAATGTTATAAATTATTTACTTATAAATTCATACTTTTAAAGATACTCAAAATTTGTATTATATTGGTTTATCTGCAATGCAATACTTAATGCTAAATTATAAAGCAATTTATTTATCATAAGTAAAATAAACACAATTCTCATTACATAATGTAATTATGGATGAGACAGTGAACGAGAATTTCAATTTTACGAATAATATCACAGATTAAGCAAAAAATGTTTGCGAAAAGGTGAGAGTCATCGTCTGGTCATCGATGGATCGCTTATCTCAAGACTCGTCCGCAAACCGTTGCCCTCTCTCTGTGTGTCCTCCGAAGGCGGGAACTCCTCGTCGTTTGAAAGACGGCTCCAAACACAACACAAATGGTATGTCCGGACGTTAGTACCAGTGCTGTCACCATCAGTTCATCTTCGCCTCCAAGTCTCAAAACATTGAGCGCCAGTTCCTCCAGAACTCGTTGTCTTCACACCAATGGCACCACAGATGAGGCATCTGGTCAGCACTGGGACCCCACCAGTGATCTAAGGTCTCCGTCGAACCATACCATCGAGTGATCACTTCTTAAGCAATACCTGAAACCAATCGCATGTCTGTTGAGAAGAGAATAGAAAAGAGTGGTTAGTATTCGTTGATTGGAAGTAGTCTTGAGATATGAGACACGGAAACACATGATATACTGAGCCATAAGTGAGTGGATGTCTGATCCTCTGATCTGTCGTTAACAGAAAATTAGTGGAAATAAAGTTTTTATGATTTCATTGTTTCTATTGTTTCCAAAAAATTAAAAAAGTTTTTATATTGTATTGAATGCTTGATAAGAGTTGTGTTTTTAGAATTTGTATTATTATTTGCATTTAATATTTTTATTTAATAGCATTGATACTGTTTGACATCTAATATTAACTAATACACAGAATATTCTGTGTTTTAACACAAAATCAGAAATCGCTTTTCAATTAAAAGTTTTGTTAAAAGTATTGTAATACAATTTCTTTTTCAATACAATTCAAAAGTTATGTCATATTGAATAAGTGTTCATTAAAATAACTAGCGACTATAAACCGTAAATACAATGAAAAATTAATTAAATTTTAATTGCATTTAATTGAACAGAACTCTCATAAAAATTAAATAATTACTGAAACAATATTAGTCATTGAATTT